GTCTGGCGTGAGGAACCCCTGTGAGCTCTCAGGCATGAGTTCTTGCCTCTAAATAGGACTTTTTTTTCAGTGCTGGGGACAAGAACCCAGGGGCTCACACTGGCTAGGCCAGTGTGCTAGCCTGAGCCACATTCCAGCCCTAAACAGACGGTTTAAGACAGCCCTCCTCCTCCCTCCTGCCCCTCTCTGCCTGTCTCCCTCAGCCTGTAGAACTGGCTTCCTGTCAGCCCAGGGCTGAGGCCTGCCTGACCTCAAGGCAAAAGAGGCTGACAGGAAGGGTGGGGAGGGGGAAGGAGGGAATTTGCTCTTGCTGAGCACCCGGTCCTGCCCACCTTCACCTCTATCCTAGGGAGTCTGCCCTGCCACCCCACACCGAGAACCTGCCTCACAGAGGAGGGAATGGAAGCCCCGCCACGGACAGAGCCAGCCTTCCTGTTCCTGCCTCACTCCAGGGCCCCAAGGTGGGTCCAGGAGCTTAACTGACTGTCAAAGGAGAATCTCTTCGTCTTGAGGCCAGTGTCCTAGAGAAGGTCTCTCAGCCATCTGGAGGTCAATAGAAGTCAGAGCAGGCAGGAGGGCTGGGCTGGCCTGACCTTTTCCAGTACACAAATGACCTGAGAGAAGTTACTTCACTTGAGTGACCTTGGCTACCAGGGCAAGGTGATGAGTGCCTGGTTTTAGACCTAGACCAAGGATGGCAAACCTTTTAGGAACTGAGTGCCCAAAGTACAACCCAAAACCCACCTATTTATCACAAAGTGCCAACACATGCCTATGTCCTCTGTGATCCAATGTTCAGCTACTAAGGCAATACTGGGGCGACTTGTCCCTAGTGCCCACAGAGAGGGATCTATATGTCCACTGTGGTACTCGTGCCATAGGTTCACCAGCACTGACCTCAGCTGATTCCAAATCTATTTGTCCTGCTGTTTGCTGCTATCCTGCTATTTGTCTTGTCTAGCAGAAATCCTAGAAATAAGCTACTCCCCTCTCTGAATGTCCTGTCTGGTCCCTGTGAAGTGGGAAGTGTGAGACCTTCCTTGTGGGGTTCCTCAGAGGACTGGGAGAGGGCAGCACAGCAGAGGGAGCTCAGGACAGGGATGGCGGTGTAGGCTGGGGGACCAGGCAAGTGACCACCACAACCACCTGTGGGCCGGCCCCAGGAAGCCAAAGCCCTCTCAGGCCTGGGAGGGGCAGGTACCACACTCAGTCCCCTCTCACCTGCCCCAGCACCACCCCCCCAATCCACCTACCACCACCCCCCACTCCCCATCCCAGTTCTCCAGCACAAAAGGGAGATCTGACAGGTTTTGTCTCCTGCAGACTCATTCTTCCAATCTGAGACCCACCAGGTCCTGCATCTGGGCCTTGCCATCACCTCCCAGCCTGGCCAGCTCTCCAGCGTGCTTCTGCACAGGAGACTCAGGGGCCTTAAAGGAGCAGAACCCGCTTTCAGAGACATCAACTTCCAAGACCAGAATTCAAAGGCAGGAAAACAGCCAGGAGAGAGACAAGAGAAGGCTCAGGGACTGCGGCCTTAGGACTTCTCTGAGGGTGGGCTGGGGCTGCACAAGGGCCAACACCCACTTTGCCCGCTTCCTCTGGCCTTGTTCTCTCTGATGTTAATGGAAGCAGGATGATGCACACCTGCAATCGCAGCACTCCAGAGGCTGAGGCAGGAAGATCATGCGTTTGAGACTAGCTTGGGTAACACAGTGAGACCGAGTCTCAAAACACAAAACAAAACAGAGATGAAGGTCAGAATGGGAGCATCTCTCCCAGGAGAGATTTCCTGAACCAGACGCTGGCCAGATGCCAGATAGGAAACCAGCCCCAGTCCCAGGGCTCATTCTGGGGGTCCATCAGGAAGGACCACAGAGTGTTTCCACAAAAGGGAGCCCGGCAGATGGTGGAAGGGAAAGGCCTCCTCACTCTCTGGCTGGTGCATCCTTTGTACCCAAAGAGCTCTCTCACCCCCTCACCTATAAACAAATTTGTGAGACAAAGTAGACCAACTGTATCCTCTTTTTGCAGAAAAATAAGGCCACAGGTCCCAAGGGGCAGGCTGTGCCCTGCCCCAGGAGTTGGTGTCTCAAGAGTGAGGCCTAGAGGAATGCAAAGTGAGGGTCTGGGAGGCCTGCCCTGGCCAAGGGACAGAAAGCCAGGGCTGCTGTGGCAGCTCCCTTGGCCCGAGCCAGGGCAGACCTGAGAGAGGAGGCTGCGGGGCTGGCCCTCGGGGTGCCAGGGAGCTAGAGAAGCATCTCTTCCCCAGCTCCCCCTCAGGCTGCAGACAGGGAGAGAGTAGGGGACCAGCCAGAGACCATGGAAGCAGGGACAGCTGTACACACAGGTACTTCTGACAAAGGGGCTGTAGAGCCTCGGTGTCGTGGGGGAGGGGACCAGCAATTCCTCCCGGGAAAGAGGGGAAGTGAGCAGGGAGATGAAGCAGGAGAGGAAATGAAAGATTAAGGGCATAAAGGCCATAAAGCCCAGCGCTGTCCAGGCCGGATGGATTCCCGGTTTATAGATATATTTATGTTCAAGGATGCCCCGCCAGGCCCGATGGAGCAGCCACCCAGGGAGGTGGAGGGGACACTGGGCTGAAAGAGCCGCCTTGTGCCCTGGTAGTCCTCTCCTGCCACCCCCTTCTCCTAGCCCTAGCTCCCCCTCTGCCTGGCTGACAGCCCAGCTGGAAGCAATTGCTGGAGCCCCCAGCCTGGAGCGCTGCATCCCACAGAGGGCCCTGGTAAATCGCAGCCCACACCCCTGACGGCCTGCAGCACCCCTCCCCTGCCCCCCTGGCAGCCCCCTGCCCGGAAATTTAAAACAACTGCTCGACACAGTCTTAAATCCTCAGGAAGGCTCTCAGTGGGCAGGCGGGAAACGCAAGGCTGGCAGGGCTGAGCCCAGAGCTCCTGCAGACTGAGCCCCCACCCCCAGAGCACCCACTGCTCCCTAAGGCCCCCACTGTGGCTCTGCAGCCCTGGCTCTTGTGTTTGTTGGTGTCCCCCTTAGGGCAACACGGCCTGTCAGTTGCCTGGGAACTCTGAGCACAAAGAAGGCTGGGCAGAGGCTTTGCCCCACTGCTGTGTCCCCGCCCTGGCTCTGCCAGGGGCATCTGCAGCCTGCATCTATGAATAATGAGCCAAGAGCCCAGCACACGTCACCCTCAGCCACCGCTCTACTCCTCGGGTTTTGGTTTCCTCACCTATCCAATGGGCGCTGTAATTTTTTTGTCTTGGTTGGTGTTTTGCAGTACTGGGATTTGAACCCAAGGCCTTCGGACTGAACCACTCTCTTCAACCCTTTAAAAAACAAAACAAAAAAAAATATATTTTTTTTTGTCTTTTTGAGACAGGGTTTCACAATGCAGTTCAGGCTGAACTTGAACTCACTTTGTAGCCCAGGCTGGCCTCGAACTCACAGTGATCCTCCCATCTCAGCCTCACGAATGCTGGGATTACAGACATATGCCATCATGTCTGGGGTTTGGGGTTTTTTGGTTGTTTGGGACAGGGTTTGCTGTGTAGTCCGGGCTGGCCTTGAACTCACTATGTATCCCCAGGCTGGCTTTGAACTTGTGTCAATCCTCACTCTGGGATTACCAGTAAGTACTACCAGCGTGGTAGGCATAATTTTTACCCAGTCTATTGCCAAATTGTGACCATTAAATAAGAAAAGTGTCACAGTAACCGCAAAATGATGGTCACTAGGCTTCTTGCCTTCCTGGCTTTAGTTTACTGTGTGAAGGGAGGTGCCTGAGTTGAATTTTCCCAGTTTTGATGATCTCAGGCTCCAGCCAGAGCTGACTGGCCTCAGCCTCTCCGTGCCCACTAGGCATTGTAAATCAGGGAGAGGTGTGACATCAGGAAAGGACATCCCTAGCAGGACTCTAAAGTCACTATTTTAGCTCTTAGGGGGCCCAACTTGCTGTGGGACCACTGGCCCTCAGTTTCCCTTTCCTAAAAGGACAACGGGTGGACATAGGATGCTGGAGTCACCTCTAGCATCAAGTTCCATAGTGACAGGACACTGCAGGGCTCTGGCCAGCCTGGATCCTATATCAGAGGGAAGGAATCTGGAATCTGGAGAAGAGAAGGGGCTGAGCCTGTACCCAGGCAGCAGGAGGTGGTTCTTTGCTCCTGCATGTCTCAGCTGGATGCCCTGCCCCCCACATCTCCAGCCCTGGACCTGGCTAGCCTGGAGGTGTCCAGGGCCTGGTTACTTGATTAGTCTAGCGGGCAAAACTGAGGGTAGGACGCTGAGTTCCAGCCCTGCCTAAATACTGGCAGTCACATGACCCAGGCCAAGTCCCTTCTCTGAGACTAAGCTCCCTGTCTCTAGGTCCACAGAGGATGAGTCTGAGTTGTTCATGCTCAGATGAGGCCTCCAGGGCCAGCCCAGCCCATTCTTAAGCTTCTTCTGTGGGATTCCAGCTCTGTGTTCCTTTTCCTGTGCCCCAGGGTCACAGCAAGAACCAGCTGTGACACAGGACTCCATCCAAGCCCCAGCTCCTTGCAAACAGCACCCTGGGTCCTGCACAGAGCACTGCTCCACAGGCCTGTGTCCATCACACTCCCCACCCCAATAGGGTGCTCAGTGGGACTCATAGACAGGGACTTGTGGTCAGTGCCTGGCTTGGCATCCCTCAGGGGCTGGGGGAGCCTCTCCCTCTCACAAGAGGGTGTGTGGAGCAGATGGAGCCAGAGCAGCACTACTGTGCCCCAGGCAAGCCCTGGACAAATCTCCGCCAGAATCCCCTCCTCCCCGCCCCCACGGGCTGGGACAGACCTCAGCCAGCAGGCCTCCCAGCTTTGATCAATACAGGGCAAGCAGCCAAGGCGGCTGCAGGCTCCATTCTCCCAGGAGGCCCCAGCTCAGCCGGGTCACGTAGTGGGGGAGGGGCCCCCGGGCCTCAGGCCTGGGGGGGCCGGGGGAGAGGGGCGAGCAGGAGGGGACAGCAGCCCAGCACAGGGCTTCATTTCTTTTTTTTTTTTCAGGGCTTCATTTCTTCACCCATGTGTGTCCTCCCACCCCATCCGTGTGTTTAGTGAGCACCAGCTATGCACCAGGCACTGTCCTCAGCTCTTGGGACATGGCAAAGGACAGACAGGACAACAGCTTCTGAGGAACTTACCCTCGGTGGAGGGGGGGACCAGAAATGACAAGCGACCAGCCATGAAAGGTAGTTTGGGGAGGTAAATAAAATAAAATAAAATAGGATCAACAAATAAAATGAGATGGGGTTTCCCAGAGCAACTGGGAAACACTGCCCACAGAGGCAGGAGGACAGAGTGCGGGGGCCCTGGGACTAATGAGCAGACATTGCACTCAGAGAGTCTGCATACTGGCTTGGGTCAGAAAGTCTGCACCAGGAAGCTTAATGGGGGGGCACCATAGTGGCCAGCGAAGGGTATGGGAAGAGGTAGGCAGTGCTGCAGTCCAGCAAAGGCCTCAGCTGACCCCACAGAGCCCAGAGCAGGTAACAGGCCTAGGTACCCCTGCTCAGACCAGCCGAGGGTGCAGTTGCCCTTCCCCCACAGGCAAAGCTCACACTACCCACGGTCCCCCCCAGGCCTGTCACTGCAGCACTCTTGGGCACTGGGGAGTGAAGGCCTGGGCCTGAGGGGAGGTCTTGGTGGCACCCACTGCATGGGCTAAGATCAAAGAATAAGGCAGACACCATGCTGAGAAACCGCCAGATCAGAGAGGGAGGCCGGGGCCAGGCTGCGGGGCCCAGGAGCCCAGCGCTAAGAGGGCCACACCTGCCACCGAGTGTCCCACAGCACCCAAAGGAGGAGGATGGGGACCTGCAGATGTGTCGGCGGTCAGTGAGGGCCTGGACAAGTGCGGTTTAGCAGGTGAGTGCTGAACACGGGGCACGGTAGTGTGAGCCTGTCATTCTGCACTTGGACATCGAGGCAGGAGGGATCATGAGTTCAAGACCAGACCCTGCCTCAAAACAAGCAAAAAACTGAAACGTAAAGAAGGCAGTGCAGAGACCAGGGAGCCAGGGATGTTGTGGGGCCAGGCAGAGGACTCTGATTCTTTTCTTGCCTTGCACATTATAGGTGAGCACTCTCCCTGAGTATACCCCAGCCCTCTTATACTCAGGCTCCTACAGCATGCACAAGAGATGCTTCTGGACTCCTTTGAGGATATTCAGCCGGCTGAATGTAATTTTTCCCAATCTTACGCTTCTGCTGTATTATGGATTAGGGAAACTCCTAGTTCTCCCCAGTTTGACCAGGTCCTCTTCTCTGCTTGGGGCCACACTGACCACATCTGCTCCCTTTGTCCCCAGTCCTCCTAGGGTGTGGACACAGCTCTTGTACACCCCTGTGTCTTCCCTCTCTCCTTGGTTGTTCTGGGAAGGGTCCAGCTGGCTCCAACTCCCAACCCGGTCCATTGTCCCACCTGTTGAACTGTTTACAAATTATTATTTTTTAAATTTTTAATGTTGTCTTTTTTGACACAGGGTCTCACTATGCAGTTCAGGCTGATCTTGAACTCACTTTGTACCCCAGGCTGGACTCAAACTCACAGTGATCCTCCCATCTCAGCCTCCTGAGTGCTGGGGTTACAAGTGTGTGCCTAACTCATTGTTGTCACCTGCATCTGACACCAGAGCAGCATGGAGGAAGTCACCATGAGGGTTGGTGAGAGACATAGCTGCAGCAGTGTGCACAGTGACCGTCCTCCAGTTGCTGTGTGAGAGCCTGGGCCCAGGGTGGTGCTGCCAGGAGGTCCTGAGGACCTGGGGAGGTCTTGAGGTTGAGAAGAGACAATGGGATCCTAACCCCTTCTTTCCCTTTGCTTCCTGGCTATGAGGTGACCAGCTTGGTCTGCCACCTGCCCCTGTCTTTGCCACCCATCCTGTACTCTAGAGGCCCAAGCACTGAGTCTGCCTGGTCTTGAACTGGGCCCTGGAAAACTATAAGCCACAATAAACCTTTTCTCTCTGTAAGTTAGTCGCCTCCGGCATTTCATTACAATGACTGAAAGCTGGTAAACACAGAAGCACAGACTGGCCAGGGAAGTCGGGGCTTAGCATATCTGGGTTTACCTGAGCCAGGCTGTTCTTTCTGGGTTTCACGTACTCTATAAATGAGGCTGGCTACTTGGGTGGCATTTGAAAGCTGCCTAAGACCAAATCCTGAGTTCACTCTTCAAAACCTGAGTTAAGGGATTTCTGTTTTCTGTTGTTCTGACTCTGGTCAGACAATTGCAGAATTCCTGGGGCTGGTGAGGTCTCTAAGAGTCTTAACTCCTGAAGTTCTGTGCCACAGGCTTTGCTGAGATTTGTTTCAATACCCTCAGGAAATTGTTTGCCTAGAGATCATGTATACTTCCAGCATGGGAAACTCACTATCTTTATTAGTTTTATTAGAAGTTTCTAGGGCCAAATGTAGTGGCATAGACCAAAGTCTGAGCTACTTGGGAGGCTAAGACAGGAGGATCACAAGTTTGAGGACAGCTTGGGCAACTTAGCAAGACTCTGTTTGAAAATAACCTAATAAGAAGGGCTGGTACAGTACTTGCTCAGCATGCACAAGGGCCTGGAAATAAATCCCTGTTCCCACACATGCATACACATAAACACATACACAAAAGAAAATTGAATGAAGGGGCTGTGGTTGACACTCTGTATTCTTAAATTTCACAACTGCAGATTCACTCAATCACAGGTCAAAAATATTCAGGGAAAAATATTGCACTCGTACTGAACATGTAGACTACTTTCCCCTTGTTATTATTGCATAGGTAAAGCAGTATGGCTACTTTTCTCGTTTGAGACAGGGTCTCGTTTTGTAGTTCAGGCTGACCTTGAACTCACTGTGCAGCCCAGGCTGGCCTCAAACTTATGGTGGTTCTCCTGCCTCAGCCTTGCAAGTACTGGGATTATACCTGGTGCCTCCCTGGCCACCCGCACCCTGCTAGTAACAGTATTTTTTTTTTGGGGGGGGGGCGTCTTTTTCCTTTTTATTGGTACCAGGGATCGAACTCACAACTGCCTGCTTGCAAGGCAGGTGCTTATGCCACTGAGCTAAATCCCCAGCCCCTAGACTTTTGTTTTTTAAGATGAGTTCTCACTATGCTGCCCAGGCCTCCAGCCCCCAGTAACAGTATTTTAATGGCATTAACACTACAGTGGATATTATGAGTACACAAGAAGATGGGATCAGTTCTGTACATATAAAGGACTTGTGTACCTGTGGATGTTGGCAACTACATAGCGTCCTGGCATGTGAGAGATGACTATAGCAACAGGAATGAGGGAAGGGCTCAGACACCTACAGAGGACAGAAGGCAAGTGGGGAGCCTTAGCACCCACAGGCCTGGCTGTGAGCACGGAGAACTGGAGTGGGAGGTGAAGCATGAATACTCCTTCCTGTCTCCGGCTGCTGGGACCTCCTGCTAGTTGAATCCACAGGAAATCAGAGGCAAGCTGACATGCCCCCTCCCCCCAGGTCAGGCCAACGGAGCAGGGAGGAGCAGGAGCAGGGAGGAGCAGGAGCAGGGAGGAGCAGGAGCAAGAACGCGTCTCGGGAAGGGATGATGTACACTGAGAGCAGTCACCTGGAGGGCCAAGTATGAGGCTAAGTTCTCCACTCCGTGAGTCACGGGGCCATCAAAGTAAAGATGTGATAAGCCCTGTGTTCAAGTTGTAAGTGCATAACGAAGCAAGTTGGTGGAAGGCTGAGGGAAGAATTCACCTGAAAAGACCCAGAAAATAGGCAGGAGTTGGTCAGAAAAGGAGGAAAGAACGTTCTAGAACTGCACAGATAGGAGTGAGAAGGTCTGAGGGGCTGGAGAGCAGCAGGAAAGCTCCAGAAACCTGTGACAGGAGGCTGGGATGGACCTCAGCAGGACTGCTGTGGGAACAAAAGGAAGCCACCTCTTAGCGTTTAGTTTACTAAAGGTGTACACATGCAGGGAGGCCCAAGTCCTTGCCAGGGAACTGTCCTAGGATGGGCCAGGGCTCTGAAGGAAAACCTGATTTTTTCCTGGAAGCAAAGGGAAGACATGGGTGGACACTGACACTGTAGACTTTTGTTTTTATTTTTTAATTTTTTAAAACTTTTTTTATTGGTACCAGGGATCAAACTTGCGACCGCCTGCTTACAAGGCAGGTGCTTATGCCGCTGAGCTAAATCCCCAGCCCCTAGACTTTTTTTTTTTTTTTTTTTTAAGCCTACAGCACCCGGTATTCCCAGGCGGTCTCCCATCCAAGTATTAACCAGGCTCGACCCTGCTTAGCTTCTGAGATCAGAAGAGATTCAGTGTGTTCAGGGTGGTATGGCCGTAGACTAGACTTTTGTTTTTTAAAATGAGTTCTCACTATGCTGCCCAGGCTTGTCCTGAACTCTTGGATTTAGGTGATCCTCTTGCTTCAGCCTCCTGAGCCGCTAGGATTCTTGCCGATGCTCTGGGTCCTTTCATAGTGAATGAAACCCTGTCTCAAAAAGAAAATAAATAAATAAATAAATAAAATACTGTTTAGTAGCATGACAAAATCAATTTGTTAAAAAAATACAGTTTGCTTACTCATTTAAACAAATTTATTTATGTCCTAATTACATTGTCATTTTGGGGAAATTGAAAAATACCAAAATATTGTAAAGAAGAAAATGAGAAGCATCTGGTAACTACACCAGCCCTGGTTTTTTTTTTTTTTTTTTTTTTTTTTTTTTCTTTTCTTTCATTTCTTTAGCCCTGGGCTTTGAAGGCAGTTCTTTTGGGTCTTTTTTTAATTATTATTATTTTTATTTTTTATCTTTTGGGTCTTTATTCAGGTTTTTTTATTTTAATTGAGGCAAGGTCTCGCTGCACAGTTCAGACTGGCCTTGAACTCACTATGTAGCCCAGGCTACTGGCCTAATTGATAGTGACTCTTCTGTCTTAGCTTTATGAGTGCTGAGATGCACCACAACAGTCACCTAGGTTTTTTGTTTTGTTTTGTTTTGTTGTACGGGAATCAAACTCACCACCTCACACTTGCCAGGCAGGCGCTTATGCTGCTCAGCTAAATCCCCGGCCCAGTTTTTGGGATATAGGGTCTTATTAAATTTCCTAGGCTGAGTTTAAGATCCTCCTGGCTCAGCCTCCTGAGGGCTGATATAGGAATGCACCACCACACAGGCAGTAATTTGTATTACTTGCATTTTTACTTAAAACTATATCACAAACATTCTCCCATCACATTGAATATTCCTTTACAACACAAGTACTAACGGACAATATGTTCTCTTACAACACCAGAACGTCATTAGGCACACCTACTTTTCTACTTTTCCCTGCTTTCATTTACTGGGGGAGGGACTAAAGATCAAACTCGTGACCTTGTGCTTACCAAGTAAGTGCTTGAACCACTGAGCTAATTCCCCAGCCCAGCACTAATAAAAAATCGGTTATTTTTTATTAGTGTGTGTTTGTGATACACATTGATTACATTCAGCTTGGAGGTGGGATACCTACATATGGCATCTTGATCACTTCTCCCCTACCCCGCACCCCTCCCCCAGCTCAGTGTACCGTTTGTAACCTAGTGGCATTGCAACTGTCTTGGTGTCTTTGTACTGATTTTATGTGATAAATTCTCTAGTTTGTGAATATTCTGTGTAGTTACTTGCTCATGTTTAATTCCCAATGGGATACCTCTAAGTGAAAGACTAAACCTTCCTGCCAGGCATGGGGTTCACACCTATAGTCCCACAACTATGGGAGGCTAAGTCAGGAGACTCAACTTCACCCTCAGCCTGAGTAAATTAGCACCTTAGCCAGACTGTCTCAAAAAATAAAAAAATAAATTTTTTTATTTTTTGGGGGTGCTGGGGATTAGCTCAGTGAAGAGGTTCAGTCCCCAGTAACACACACATGCACCCAGACAGAAATAGCGCTTCAGGAGGAGTGGCCCAGGTGCAGTCCTGGCAGCAGCTGTAAGGCTGCCCAGGGCACCTCCGCCTTACCAGCATCGCTGTCAGTCCCCTTTCTGCACTGTAACGAGTGTCAGCATTTGCATTTGCTCCTCTTGGAGAATATGAAATACAGACAGGGCGCCAGCTTCAGAATTTCCTCTCCCTCCGTCTTACTGCTTGGGCCTGGGTGTGCACACTCAGTGTAAACCTCAGCTGAAGCTTGGGAATGAGAAAATCTAAGGAGATGGAACGAACAGAAATGACAGAGAATATTGTGGACAACGAAGACAGCAGAATGAGCGCTCAGGATCTACATATATAAGTTAAACTCCAGGAAGAATCAAGACTTTGTTTATTGGGGCTGGGGATTTAGCTCAGCAGCATAAGCGCCTGCCTTGCAAGCAGGCAGTCGTGAGTTCGAGCCCCAGTACCGATTAAAAAAAAAAAAAAGGAAAAAGACAAAAAAAAAAAAACCTTAAGATTTTAATATAAATGATGGAATCATAAATGTTAGAGGAAAACATTCATTAGTTACTTGTTTCATAACTTGGTAGTGGACAAAGATTTTTGGTAAAAGGTGAAAGATGTATATGATCTGAAGAGAAACCAAGAGTATAGATTTTTGGGAATGACATTAAACTAGAAGCTACAAAGTAACATATTAGCTGGGCCTGGTGGCATACTCCTGTAGTCCCAGCACTTGGGAGGCTGAGGCAGGAGGATCATCTGCAAGTTTGAGACCAACCTGGGCTACAAAGTGAGCCCAAGGCCAGCCTGAACTGCATAGTGAGACTCTGTCTCAAAAAGACCAAAAGAGACAAACAAACAAACAAAAAAACCCCCACAATGTTAGATAGAGAAAATTAAATTTTTGTGTGGCAGGCAGGCATGTGGTGCATACCAGTAATCCCAGCACTTTGGGAAACTGAGGCAATAAGGCTGCAATTTGGAGCCCAGCATATGCAATTTAGTGAATTAATGAGACCCTGTCTCAAAAAAAAAAAAAAAAAAAAAAAAAAAAAAAATGGCGGAGGATGTAGCGGAGTGAGAAAGATGTGGGTTTGATCCCTAGTATCAGAAGAAAAGAAAAGAAAGTCACAGCTGATTTGCTGTATATATCTAAAGCTTAGCCGCAGAGCACTTGGACAGGACCCCTGGGCTCCATCCCCTGTACTGAACAACAACAAAAAAACTAAAACTGTCAACGGCAAATGATAATTAGCATATGTATAAAACTAGTGCAACTTATTTTATAAGCAAAAGTTTAATTTCATTAAACTTCATAATAATTTTCATAAATAAACAGAAAAGTGGATAAAAGATGTGAATGAGTTGCATAAGAAGAAACATAAATGGCCAATAAACAGCATAGCGATTGAGCACTTCGCTTATAATTTGATTAATGCAAATTAAGACAATGAGAAAGCATTTTCACCTGCAAGGCTGTCAAGATTGAAAAGATTTCCAGGGAACCTGGGGATAGTCACACATGGCCTGGAATTCCAGCACTTGGGAGCCTGAGGCAGAAGTTCAAGGCCAGGGGCTGGGGATTTAGCTCAGTGGCATAAGCGCCTGCCTTGCAGGCAGTCGTGAATTCGATCCCTGGTACCTATAAAAAGGAAAAAGGCAGAAAAAAAAAAGAAGAAGAAGTTCAAGGCCAGCCTGGGCAATATGGGGAGGCTGTCTCAAAAAACAAAACAAAACAGATAGATCACCAGAATATTGAGAAGAGAGCGGACTCACCAAAGCGTAGCTGCTGTATAGTTTTGTTTTTTGTTGTTTTTCTTTTTTTTATCAGTACCAGGAATCGAACTCACAACTGCCTGCTTACAAGGTAGGCGCTTATGCCGCTGAGCTAAATCCTCAGCCCCTCTGCTGTATAGTTTTGAAAGGCAGTTTGTCCACCTGTACTGTGGGAGCCACTGAAAAGAAGGGCTTGTTTCTATGCGAAAAGATGCCTAATACCCTCTCTAGCACTGGGGACTGAACCACCCAATGGCACACTACGACTGAGTTATAGCCCATATTTTTTTATCTTGTTTTAACAAAGATCTTGCTAAATTGTCTGGGCTGGACTGGCCCCAGATATTTGATCCTCTTGCCTCAGCCTCCGCAGTAGACTGGATTATAATAAGTGTGTGCCATCTCTCTCAGCTAGTCTAAAATAAAAGGAAGAAGGAAAAAAAGAAAAGAAAAAATTAGAAACAAAGCCTTTGTAAATAAGGAGGGAAAGAGGGTTTGAAGAGAGGGGGAGACAACAGGGAAAGAAAGAAGCCAGGTGTACCATATACAGGTGCAAATTCCCTATGATGAATGTGCTCATCTACATAGTTAAAATGTACTAATAGGGGCTGGAGGTTTAGCTCAGTGGCATAAGCACCTGACTTGCAAGCAGGCAGTCGTGAGTTCGATCCCCGGTACCGATAAAAAGGAAAAAGACAAAAAAACAAAAATGTACTAATAACCCCTACCACACCCCCACACATGCAAAGTGTGGATGCACACACACACACACACACACACACACTGCAGTCACTTGTTAGAAAAAGTTGTACCGTATATCTAATGTGTTTGGCAATGTGTGAAAACTATTTGTGAGAGACCCAAGATGCTGACCATTGTACACTGAACTGTAATGGCAGCTCCTTCCTGCCTTCATGCCATGCGGTTCACACCTCTGCAGCTGTGCTGTGCTCATGCCTCGGCTTCTCTTCCCTGTCTTCCATCATCCTCCTGGTGACTCCTCCTTGTCCTTTGAGGCACCTGTAGCAAGCACTTCTTACCGTGAGCCATCTTTCCAGCTTTTACCTGCTAACACACATGCTTATTCCTTTGCACCCTTATGCACCCCTCAGCCTCCATTCTTCTTATTTATTTATTTATTGTCTTTTTGAGGCAGGGTCTCACTATGCAGTTCAGGCTGGCTTTGAGCTCACTATGTAGCCCAGGCTGGCCTTGAACTCATGGTGATTCTGTTGCCTGGGCCTCCCCAGTGCTGGGATTATAGGTGTGCGCTACCATACCTGGCCCATTTCTTGTTGCATTTTATATTTGTGCCTGAAAGCATTCTTCAAATTGGAGTTCCTTGAGGGTCCAGATGTCTAATATCTAATCTCAGTTTACAGTTACTGAATAAAAAAAAGAAACTGCTTTGCACATGTCCGTTCCACTGATTTATCTTTGCTTTCTAAGATGTCTTTTCTCTGTCTTTGCTTCATGGTTCCTAAAATGTGACAGCTGGTGAATAACAGTGGGCACTGTCTCTGCATAGTGAGCGGAGCAGGTATGTGTGCAAACCCAGACACTTCTTGTTTCCTGGTTCGATTCCATCTAGGACCTATGAACCCACAAGCTATCCTGTGCCAGGCTGGGAGCAGACCTTGGTCTAAGCAGATGTAGCCATGGCGCCGTATGTTTAAGACTCTGTCAGGTGCTTGCTCAGGCCTTTGGATGAGAACACAGGTGTGTCCTCACTGTTGTCAGATAGGGTCCTGGTGCTCGAGACAGAGCAGGTGGAAAGCTGCCCTCCATCCAAGTGCTGGCTTCCATGCAGGGTGGACATAGACAGCCACAGCCTTCTGCGAGATGATCAGCTCTCCAGTTTACTAAAGGACCTCTCAAGAAGGACCACAGAGGGCTGGGGTGCAGATGGTGGTGAGGTGCTTGCCTAGTGCCTGCAGGGATCCGAGTTTAATTCCCCAGCACTGCAAAATATGACAGCACAGACCCAGATGTGATGGTACACACCTGTAGTCTTACCTGCTCAGCAGGCTGAAGCCAGAGGATTTTTTGAGCCTAGCAATTTGAGACCAGTCTGGGCAGCATAGTGAAAACCTGTCTCAAAAAAAAATTTTTTTGTGGTACCAGGGATCAAACTCAGAATCTCATGCTTGCCAGGCAGGCACTTAAGCTGCTGAGCTAAATCTCTGACCCGCAGAAAAAATTTTTTAAAATATAAATACAGCTTTAGCTCCTGCCTTGCAAGTAGGCAGTCATGAGTTCGATCCCTGGTACCGATAAAAGGAAAAAGACCACATAAATAAATAAATAAATACAGCTTTTAAAAACCCAAATAATAAATAATACAACAGGAAAGTGTTTTATTCCCAACAGTTACTTTTTTACATCTGGTGCCTGGGATTGAGCCCAGGGGCTCACACGTGGCCCTGCCATGAGCCTCACCATCCCTGGAAGTGTTGGACTTCCCTCTCTGTGGTGTCACAAGCTGATTCTGAAGTAACAGAAACCGACAGTAGCTGTTTGAGCCCACAGGAATCTGCTGGGGCACTATGACATAACTTTTTCATATAAAACTGAGGAAAGCTGAACCATTAGTCCTTGAAGAAGATGCTGGGGATGGCACTGGAGGTCAGGCAGAGGGCACAACAACCCTGGGCCTCTGGACCTCATGTCCTCTCAGGCCTCTCACCTTCCTCTGTGGTCATTTCTTTTGGTTTGTTTGGGCTCTGTGTGGCCTGGTGCCATTTCATTTTCAAATAAGAGTGTGGCTGCCTTCCCATACTGCCCTGGCCGCTCTGATTCAGTCACCTGAAAGGGCCTGGGGCGCCTGGGCACTCGCATGCGAGTGAGCCCGAGAAGCAGGTGTCGGGACTCAAGCTTCGCCTTCTGCCATCCCGGCACTGTTGTGAGTCCCGCACTCCTCTCTTCAGCTCCCAGAGGGCCAGAGTGTGCCAGCAATGCTGTTTGAGGTTTCTCTCTTCCTGCTTCCGGAATCACTGCCCAGCCATGCTTCCCGCACAAGAGTCCTTTCTTCTGCTCAAAGTCTGGGAGCCAAGATGAAGAGAGAACCCCACTTTGATGATAAACTGATTACTTCGTGCAAACAGGCCAAGCTTAGACGCATCTCACAGGCCAGGCCCAGGTCAGGGGCCACCCGTTGGCCAGACCGAGGGTAGCTCCTCTGTGCTCTGTCCAGTGGGAAGGGGCAGAGCCAAAGCTACTCAGGGTGGTGACCATGGTCAGGCACCGTGGCTCAGGCCTGTAATCCCAGGACAGTGGGAAGCAAAGGGCTGGGATGTAGGGCTATAGCTCACTGGGAAGACCCTGGGTTCAAACCCAAGTCTCTCTCTCAGACACATATACACACGTATGCATACACACATACATGTGCGCACACACACACACACACACACACACACACACACACACGCACACTGTTTGGCTCCTGCACTGAGGCACTGTGAGGTGAGGTGCACTATTGTGCACTATCTCTAGCCTGAGCTCCCGTTCACTGCAGATTTCTCCAGCATCTCTTCTCTTCTCAGTGCACAGCACTGCTGTCCTCCAGGTGCCCAGCCTGAGACCTGGGCAGGGTCCTGACTGCCTCCCTTCCCTTCCACGGCCAGCTGGTCACCCAGCTGGTCACCCAACTTGGTCAACGTTAGACTTCTGGGCTCTCTGGCTCTCAGTCTCCCTGTTCTGGCCCCATCACCGGCCTTACCGCACTTGCCCGCTCTCCACCTCTGTTCTCTTCAAAACCCCCAGCTCCCAGATTTTCCTAGGTGACAAATTGGAGCAATTTACTTCACCATTAAAACTCTGGCCAGCTCCCCATCGGCCTCCAGGAGGGACCTGGTGCCTCCAACAGCAAACCCTGTTGCACCTGGGGCCCTGTCAAGCCCTGGCAATGGGCAGTGTCCCTCCTCCTGTCTAGGCCCGGCAGCCCTGCGGCACATGATGTGTGCTCTGTCCCTCCCTGTGCCATCTCTGGGCCTGAACCACCCTTCTACAGTAGCTGAGCTCCAGCTAACCATGCCAACTCAAACTGGTAGAAGCAATCAGGAACACACTGTCTTTCGTGATGGGCAGGCTGGTGAACCCAGGCTCCGGATAATCCACAGCTCATAACTCAGAGGAGCTCCTCTGCGCCCCAGGCAGGCAGATTCTTCCTAAAGGCGAGTCCTCTCTGGGCTTGAGGAGCATAGTGCAGATCCAAGCTTCACATCCTATGTGACAACCTTCCCAGGAGGAAAAGTGGACCCCAAGTGGTGACCCTCTGTTGGTCATTTGGAAACTTTTCTCAGCGCCCTTAGAGACTTCACTCTCAGGGGGGCCATGAGTAGTCATCACCTGCCTGCCACTAAACCATCTATAGCAGCAGGATTGAGATTAAAGTTGGTAGAAGGGATACTAAAGCCCAACCCTGAGACAATAGCGGCCACCTCTACATTAGTCTGGTTACATTTTTGTTCTTGTTTTTTGAGACAGGGTCTCACTTAGGCTGGCCTCAAACTCAGAGTGATCCTCCTGTGTCAGCCTCCCAAGTGCTGGCATTATAGGTGTGCTCTACCACTAAGTTTTTTCAGAACTTGCTAAGTTTTTTTCAAAACTGACGTATTACCAAGTATGATGGCACATTCACTACTCAGGAGGCTGAGGCAGGAGAATTGCAAGTTCATGACAGCCTGGCAACCTTGTCAACATAGTGACTTAATGAGACCTTGTCTCAGAATAAAAAAGTTGCCGGGTGCGGTGGCTCACGCCTGTAATCCCAGCACTTGGGAGGCTGAGGCGGGAGGATTGTTGCAAGTTCGAGACCAGCCTGGGCTACAAAGTGAGCTCAAGGCCACCTTGAACTGCATAGTGAGACCCCATTTCAAAAAAAGAATAAAAAAATTAGGCTGGGAATGTGGCTTGGTGTGAAAACCCTGGTTTCAACCCATAGTACCTAGACGAACAACCAGAACACCAAGCTTTAGGCTGGGCATGTAGTTCAGGGGTGCAGTCCTTGCCTAGCATGTGTGAGGGCCTGGGCTTCAACCCCAATAAATAAATAATAAATAAATCTTTGCTCTTTAAATCAAAATGCATCTTACCAAACATTCTATCTACAACCGGCATTTTCTAATAAACAACATGATATAAAATACTTCTGTAACATTTTATCATCTTTTTTCAAAAATGAGTTACATTGGTACATTTGGGATAGACATAACTATCACACTCATCATAAGGTTGGTTTGGTGGTTTTTGTTTTAGTTTTTTGAGACAGGGTCTTGCCGTGTAGTCCAGGTTGGTTTTGAACTCCTGGCATTTCTCCTGCCTTAGCCTCTCAACTGCTGGGATCACAGGTGTGTGCCATCATGCCCAGATATACTATCTTTTTAAAAACTGAGTAGTATTGGGGCTGGGAATTTAGCTCAGCGGCATAAGCGCCTGCCTTGTAAGCAGGCAGTCGTGAGTTCGATCCCTGTACCGATAAAAAGGAAAAAGACAAAAACAAAAAAAACAAAAAAACAAAACTGAGTAGTATTGCTGGGCATGGTGGTACACCTCTATAGTCCCAGCACTTGGGAGGCTGAGGGAGGAGGACTATTACAGTTCAAGACCAGCCTGGGCTACAAAGTGAGTTCAAGGCCATCCCGAACTGCCTAGGGAGACACTGTCTCAAAAGAAAAAAAAAATAAAATACAAAACTGCATAGTATTTCATGATACTGATATACTGTGCCTTAAATTATTCAGCTCCTGTTGGTCATTTAAATTGTCTTCAGTTTTTAAGCATTATAAACGATGTTACAGTACACTTCCTTTTACTTAGGTCTTAGACACTATGTTACTTCCCTATGATAAATCCCAAACGAAAAAGATGAAGCCAGATGCAGTCATGCTTTATAGTTTTGGTTTTGTGTGTGTGTGTGTGTGTGTGTGTGTGTGTGTGTGTGTGTGTGTCTTTTTAAGACAGGGCCGAGTTATGCAGTTTAGGCTGGCCTTGGGCTCACTTTGTACTCAGGCTGGTCTTGAACTTGCAACAATCCTATTGCCTCAGCCTCCAAAGTGCTGGAATTACAGGAGTGTGCCACCATGCCTGGCTTACAGTTCTGGCTTTTGAGGAGGCTGAGGCAGGAGGACCATTTGGGCTGTGGAGTTTGAGACCAACCTGGATAATATAGAGAAAGCCTTTTACAAAAAAGTAAAAAGCACATGACTACAACTCTGATATACTCCCTATTAAGAGTTGTCTAATTCAGACATGGTAGTGCATGCCTGTAACTCCTTGGGAGGCTGAGGCAGGAGGATCACCATGAGTTTGAGGCCAGTGTGGGCTCCATAGTGAGTTTAAGGCCAGCCTGAGTTACATGGAAAAACTGTCTCAAAAAACAAACAAGGGTTGTGGTCTGTGTCACCTCCACTGAGATCTGGGTGCAACTGTGCTGCCGTGAGCCCAGAGCACAGCAGAAGCAGTGTGTGACTTCCAAGGCTGGGCCATGAAAGTCCAGGAAGCTTCCACCTGGAAATGTCCCTCCCAGGAGGCTTCCCTTCTGAAACCAATCTGGCATGCAGTGATTGCAGTGATTGAGTCACCTAAAGGCCACGCCACCAGCCAAGATATGTAGAAGCAGAATCTTGGGGGCGATTGCAGCCCTGTGCGCCAGGAACCTTCTTCTGAGGCCGGGACAGTAGAGAGTGAAGCCTTACTCATCCCTGTTGGCCTCAGGTAAGACCCACCGTGTCCCTGCTCTTCACTGACTGCTGCCTTTTAGCTGCTGGCTTTGGGGCCGTCTGTCATGTGACACTAGGTCCTGGAAGGAAGGGAGCTGCTGTGGAGAACAGCATACACTTGTTTCCCTAGTGGAGAGGGAATGCTGGTCCTTCATACTGAGCTACATCCTCACCACTTGGTTTTTTTTTGTTTGTTTTGTTTTGTTTTGGTTTTCTTTATCGGTACTGGGGATTGAACTCACAACTGCCTGCTTGCAAGGCAGGTCTTATGCCGCTGAGCTAAATCCCCAGCCCCACCACTTGTTATCTTGAGACAAGGTCTTGCTACATTGCCCAGGCTGGGCTTGAATTTGTGACGTTTCTGCCTGCTTCTCCCAGAGTGTTGGGATTACAGGCAGTTACGACCATTCACAGGTGAAAGCATGCACATTTTAGCTGTTGATTAAATTTGAAATTAAAGTTTTTGAGCTGAGGGTTTAGCTCAGCGGCATAAGCATCTGCCTTGCAAGTGCAAGGTCGCGAGTTCAATCTCTGGTACAAAAAAAAGAAATAAAGAAAGAAGTGCAGAGTTTTAAAAAAAATTTAAAAAAGAAATTGGGGCTGGGGATTTAGCTCAGCGGCATAAGCGCCTGCCTTGAAAGCAGGCAGTCGTGAGTTCGATCCCTGGTACCAAAAAAGACAAAAAAAAAAAAAAAAAAAAAAAGAAAGGCAGTAGTGAGTTCGATCCCCGGTACCGATAAAAAGGAAAAAGACCAAAAAAAAAAAAAACTGGGAAAAAAGAAATTAAAGTTTTATAGCTTAATGCAAGAAGAGATTAGTCAACTTTGAGGAGTCACTTCCAGGACACAGCAATGACATGGGCAAGTGGGCGTCAGGGCTGCCAACCAACACCTCTGCCCTATGCTGGGTCCCTGGAGATGGGCACTGATTCTGAGAGTGGCTGCCAGGGTTCATCAGAAATGTGCCTATGGGGAGGGCATGGAGGACAGGATGCTCAGGGCTGAAACTGACCTGCTGCCACTGTCACTGAGGTCTCAGCTGGGAGCCGGAGCCTGCTGGTTCGTTGTTGGCCTTATCTACCCCTCCCCACCCCCACTGCTCCAGAGTCCCTCACCTTTGGCACTGTTGCCTTCCAAGGTAGGCAGCTGGCCTGGTGGACACTCAGGCTCCAACTGGAAGGAGTGGAGCCCCAGGTTCCTACATACTGCTAAGCACATGGTGGCTTTACCTGTTCACATACCCAGAAAGCCAGGCCCAAGCCTATAATCCCAGCACTGGGGAGGCTGAGGCAGGAGGATCACCGAGAGTTTGAGGCCAGCCTGGGCTACACAGTGAGACCTCATCTCAAAAAAGAAGGAGGATGAGGAGGAGGAGGAGGAGGAGGAGAACAAGAAGAAGAAAAAGAAGAAGAAGAAGAAGAAGAAGAAGAAGAAGAAGAAGAAGAAGAAGAAGAAGAAGAAGAACAAGAAGAAGGGGAAGGGGAAGGGAAAGGGGAAGAAGAAGAAAGCCAGGCCAGTAGCACCAGGGGCACCACCGTGACTCCTCCAAGTATGATGCACTCACACTGCTCCTCTTACTTAACCTGCTGATGGCCAGGGTAGTCATTTTTCGTTTTGGTTGGCCTTTTAGCTCAAGGAGCTCAAAAAATCAAGCGGGGGGGGGGGTAATGTTTGGATCCAACAGAGCTCTCACTGTCTCTTAGTGGGTGTGCTCCCCTCTGGGACCACCGAGACCCTCAGAGGCTTGTGTTTAGAGATAGAAAGGTGCCCCTAAGGTGACCTTCACCGGATATGGTGGTGCACCCCTATAATTCCTGCACTCTGGAGGCTGAGGCAGGAGGCTCACTGAGCGTGTGAGGCCAGCCTGGGCTACATAACAAGAACTTGTCTTAAAAAAGACAAAGCCGAAGAAGTAAGCAAGCAGATCTAACACTGGTGAAATATGGTCATTCCCTAAGCAGAAAGCAGTTCCTAGGGTGGAACCCACCTGTGAGCCATCAGCAGCCAGTGTTCTTAGAAGCGATCAGCATGCTGGCCTGGAGAGGACGGTGCAGTGAGGGACCCTCCACACTCACTGCAAGTGAGAGTCTCATGTACTCCAGTTACAAGGTGGGAACAATGATGGTTTACTGGTACAGAAACTTGGAAGGAATGAGAATGCACATTTAAAACCCTGAAATTTTTTTTTTTTTCAGTAGCAAAATCACTTTTTTTTTTTTTTGTCTTTTTCCTTTTTATCGGTACCAGGGATCGAACTCACGACTGCCTGCTTGCAAGGCAGGTGCTTATGCCGCTGAGCTAAATCCCCAGGCCCCGCAAAATCACCTTTATAGGGCAGAGTCCCCAGAAACAGATTCAAGTAAACTTTAATCTCGGCTGCTGGAGAGGCTGAGGCAAGAGGACTGCAAGTTGCTGGCCTACACGGACATTTTGCGCAGGTAATGGAGAGGCCTCCATGGGCAGAAACGACTGCAGAGGGAAAGCCCACACGGGGCCAGGGGCCTGCATCCGCTGAGCACCTACACGTTCCAATGTCCGCGAAAGTAGCAAGCTCCTCAAGAGGAAGGCGCAGTGCGCCGCGTGGCTTCTGCCAAAACCCTGAAATTTCATTCAACAAACGTTAGTTTCTAAATCCTTTATATGAAGACCTCCTTCCATCTATGATCACATTTCTCTTTTCCTCTTGGCCAGTGGGGAACTTATAGCTTCATTTGGTGCTCATTTAGAGTAGATACGTTTTTCGGTTGTGTTGTTTTATTTTATTTGAGAGAGGATCTCAGTATGTAGCCTAGGTGGCCCGGAACTTCAGTGATTCTCCTGCCTCAGCCTCCCAAGTACTGGGATTACCAGCATGCACACCACACTGAGTCTTTAGCTAAACTTGATGACAATTCTTTTGTTGCAAGCTCTCTGGAACCATATTTAGAGAATAGCAAGGGGTAAATAAATGCCTAAAGGGAACTTGGAGCAATGAGAGAGCTCACTTTTTAAAATGTGACTATGCCTTACCGAGAACACTGCCCCAGGAACTCACGTGAACCGAGCTGAGCACTTCACCACTGGGTCTTGATTCGTTTCAGCATTTGCCAAGCAAGCCAGCACCTAGACACGGGAACCCCTCTGCTTAGAGGGTGACTCACAGCTCTGTCATGTCAGAGACACACCAAGCAGGTACTAGATAGTAGGGGGATTGGGGCCAGGGATATAGCTCAGTGGCATGGGGCCTGCCTGGCAAGTGCGAGGTCATGGATTCAATCCCCGGTAACAACAAAAATAAAATAAAATAAAATAAAATAAAATAAAATAAAGCAAACAAACAAAAAGTGGGGGATTAGGGTTGTCAGGTGTCCCCCAGCCAGCGTCTCTGTTGGTTATCTTGATCCCTGTCGGGTCCCGGAGCCCCTCCCAGGCTTCCCCCGCCACCCCAGATGGCTCCAAGAGGAGTCCCACCCTTTTCCTGGACAGGAGCCAGCGCGGGGACAGAAGGAGCATATGTGGCCCAGATGTTAGGATGGAGCTGGGTCTTTCCACTGCAGGCTGCTTACCGAGTGTGCCCTGCCTCGGGGCCTTCGTCTGCGAGTCACCCCTTGAGCTCCCTCTCCCTCTGTGCACAGCCTCAGAGCGACAGTCTGCACATGCGCCAAACCACACTCCTGAATGGCTCTGCCCTGGACACAGGCTAGCAGGCGTGTTTGCTAAGGACTTCCAATGTCCTATTGCTCATGGCCCCCGGGCAGGGGTCTTGCTTCCATGTGGCCTCCCCTTGTAACCCTACTGCTGCCTCCTGGGAGTCAGTGCAGCTCATGTTCAGGGAAGACCATGGCTGGGGCCTGGCCTCGGGGTTTCAGAAGGAGAAAGATGCGTTTAAAAAGTGATAGCAGGCTATCACCACAATGTCCAGATTCCAGCCCTAACCCTGCCACCTGCTAGCAGGGCACTGGTAAACCATCTGCTATGGTTTAGATCTTCAGCATTCCCAGAGCCTTGTGCGTGGAGGGTGCCTGGATCACGCAGGTGCTGTCCCATCAGTAGGTCCATCCCCGGGTGACTTCAAACCTGAATGTGCTGTGGCGGGGGGAGTGGTGAGTGTTGGTGTCACCCGGAGCCGTGTATCTCTTGCCCTCCTGTTTCCTGGCTGTCATGGGTGAGTGCTTTCTCCCCCGTGCCCATCTGCCATGCTGTTGCCTTGGTGCCAGAGGACTACAGACTAAAACCGGGAGCCAAAATAAACCTCTCCCTCTTCAGTTGTGGGGGTCAGGTAATCTGCCCAAGCAAGAGGAAAGTGACTTAAGACATTGTTACGGCTGGGTCTAGATGTCCCCCAAAGCCTCATGCGGTCATAGGACTTTTGGGAGGTGGCTGGACCTTGTTGGAATACGTGATGCTGGAATGCAGGATGTGGTGCTGGGATGGATTCATGGTGCGGTGTTAGGGTCGAGGCTGCCTTCACGGGTGAGTGCTGCCCTCCCTAGTCAGGACAAAACACCAGGGACAGAAAGAAGCTTCTGCTGCTGTTGTCACTTGCTGCTCTGCTTCTTCCCTGTTTTGCTACTCTCTGCCCAGCATGAGCTGTTTCTTCGCTGCCACGTCCACAGAGCCTGCTGCTGATGGACTGAAACCTCTACAAACTGTGAGTTAAATAAACCTTCCCTCCTTCGGGTTAGGGTATTTTGTCTCAGCACTAAAAAAATAACTAAGACAGGCATCGCCCCTCTTGTCCACGCCTCAGTTTCCTGCACTAGGAAAAGGTGTAATAGTGTCCACTTTTAGGGTTGTCATGACAGCCAGTGAGATAGCATTGGGGAAGCCAGTGCCTTCTACTATTTTTTGCCCGATGGTGACTAGTCTGGTCACACCAGGCAGTCAGTGTGAGTGTGTTTGAGTGTGATGGCTTCTGTTTAAACATCCCCCAAAGCCTTACACAGTCATAGGTGGGTCTTTCAGAGGTGGCTGATCTAGAGTGTGACTCTGGGATTGATTCATGATACAATGCCAGGGTCAAGGGCACTAGGATTAAATGTGTGAGTGCTATCTAACCACCCTGAGCAGCCTGGATAAAATTAAAGGGGCAGACAGATGCTGTTAAGGTCCCCCCTGTTGCTTTTGCTACCTTGTGGACACCATGAACTGTTTGTTCTCTATGATGCCCCGCTACATGCCACACTGCCTTGGAGTGAGCTGACTATGGACTGAAACCTCCACAAACTTCGAGCTAAGTAAACCTTTCCTCCTTAACTTTGGGTGCTGGGTATTTTGTCTCAGGAACAAGAGAAAAATAGCCAAGTCAGTGTGTGCATGTGTGTGTGCCCACAGGCAAATGTGTGCATGTATAGGAGAGGCTGGCAGCAAGAGAGGCAGAGGAGGGAGAGAATGAGAGAGATGGAGCAAAATAGGTAAAGAGAAAAGAAAAGGAGAGAGAGACAGAAAAACAGATTTCTTCTTTTTTTTTGTCTTTTTCCTTTTTATCAGGACCGGGGATCGAACTCACGACTGCCCGCTTGCAAGGCAGGCGCTTATGCTGCTGAGCTGAATCCCCAGCCCCCAGGAAAACAGATTTCAAAAGATACACAGAGCAGCCGACAAGGCCAAGAAAGAGCCCAGGGGGAGCACAGAAGTCTGTAGGAAGTGGGGAGGGCGGGGAAGAAGAGAACAGGCAGCACAGAGAATTGGTTCCTTGAGTGTTTGTTGAACACCTATGACCTGCCCAGTGTTGTGCTGGGTGCCAGAGATGTGACATCACAGAGAAGGGACACAGTCTCTGTCTCTGTGGGTCTGCTGAGTGGGGGACAGACAAACCCAGAGACAGAGAAACGCAGAGGGGAGCCCACAGAGAGAACAGAGGGGTTCCATGGACTGACCCAGGGGAGGTGGGGACACAGACAGAGTATGACAGGAAGATGGGAAGCCACAAGCAGAGGGACAGCATTCAGAGGCAGGGCCTAGTAGGTGTCCCCTACACAAGTGCTTCTACTGGGAGCCTGCCCTGTGCCACCAGTACATGCACTCTCATTCCCACTCCAGTGTCCTCCGAGGTAGGGCCCCCATCCTCAATGACCAGGAAGTGGCGCTTGGGTTCCACTGACATCAGCCTCCCAGATGATGGCCTGAGTGACCCCCTTGCCACTCCTGAGACCTATTGTTGTGGGTCCCCTTGTGCTGAGCCAGCTGGATCCTGAAATTCCCATCAGGCTTGTTAGCTTTGGGGTCCTTGCTTTGGGTAAATTGAGGCCTGAGCTATCACAGCAGAGGGTGGCTGCCTGGGCCTTCTAGGCTGGGGTCAGCCCAGCTAAGGACCCAGTGCTAGAGTGGAGGCAGGACCTTCTGGCTGGGTGGGGGTGGGGATAAGAGGAAGCACTCTTGGGTTCGTGCAGCCCCAACAACCATGTTGTCTAAGAATCACGTGAGAGTAAGTTTTGGAAAAGGCTTCTGTTTCAAAGCTGGGACTTTGACGGTTGCCTATGTCTGTTTCCGTGGAAACGGGAAGGAATCAGAGACTGAGCCTGTGAGCTCTGCTCTGAGTGCCCCAGATAGCGAGGGTGAAAGGGCACCCCCCCAACCCCTCCTCCTGCCGCAGGCTCTGGAGTCCCTCAGCCCCTCTATCCCTCTACGGGGCTGGCTGGGATTCTGGGCTTGCAGGAGGGCTGGGAGGGAGGAGGCTTGAGGCGTGGGCACCCCCAATCCAGCTCACCTTTGCAGAACACTCCCTGGGCCCTGATGGGGAATGCACCCACGGGATGACTCAGACAAAGAGCTCTTGCTGTCTACGGGGTCTTCATCCTTAGGACAGAATCAGTCTGTCAGGCTTTGTGCAAGGCTTGGGCCTCTCATTAAGTCCACATGGAGAGTGGTACTGGACAGCAGCGGTGAGCAGGAGCCACTGGTGGGGTCTCTGAAGCCTTCAGACCTTTACCCAGGCCAGGTCCTGCCTGGTGCTGCTCTGCCTGACGCACACCTGTTTTCCTTCAAAGCCGAGCTCCCAGCCCACCGGCTGCAGAGCGACCAGAGCACCTCCAGGCACAGGCGGAAGCTGGCATCTCCTCATGCCAGCTCCATCTGTGTTGAGTCCCTTTCTCTCCCCTCTTCTTAGGGACCTTATGTGACGGTGTCCTCTGCCTCCTCCGCCCTCTCCGGGCTCCTTCCATCACCATCTGCGCAGGTTCTAGGCTCCCTGTCTCTAGCCCAACACAGCAGTTCTCACATCCCTCATAGAGTTTGTGCCTGCCGCTCCCTCCCATCCTCCCCACTCCTCCACCGACAGGATCTGACCTCTGCACCCATGGCACCCCCAAACTGCTCTCATCATCCAACTGAGCCCATCACAGAACTCTGTCCCAAAGTGCTTCATGCACCCCATGGTTTGGCCACTCTCTCCAGGAAGTCAGCCTGCTGCTCCTCCTGGGAGTCCTCGTGGGTGCCCTCTGGCCATCCTGTCTGGCCTCCTTCACTGGTGCTCAGCCCTTGAAGAGTCCTCCCTCAGCTTCTCATCCACTCCACTCCTGCTTCTCTGGGCCCCTCCCTGAGCCCAGACCAGTCTGGTACTTGCACGAAGCCCACAGGGGCCTGTGCACTCCAGCATGGCCCGTCACTGGTTGCAAGGCTCTCTGTCCACACATCTGTGCTTACCACCCAGGACAACACCTGGCGAAAACTGGGTTGGAGGGAGAGGTCTGAGCAGGAGCAGGGCAGGAGCAGGCCTGTGGCTTCAGAACATCCCTGTAGCTGCCCAGAAGGGCAGGTGAACATCCCTGTAGCTGTCCAGGAAGGGCAGGTGAACATCTGGGGGTTGTACAGTAATTGGAGGGTGGTGGGCAGAACACAGCACACTCACCAGCTCCAGTGCATCAAGCTCTGCACTGGCAGAGGAGGGAGAGGAGGAGTGGAAACCGACTCCAAGATTTCCAGCCAGGTGGTGCCATGGGAAACAGCGACAGCGACCAGTTAGGGAGCAATAATGCATATAATCTGGACATGTGAACACCAAGGCGCCAGAGGGACATCCAGCAGAGACACCCTGGAGCTGAACACAGGTCACAGGTGCTGAGAAACAAGAGCTGAGAGAAGCTGGGCGTGGTGGCCCACTCCTGTTATTCCAGCACTTGGGAGGCTGAGGCAGGAGGATCATTATGAGTTCAAGACCAGCCTGGGCTACAAAATGAGCTCAGGCCAACCTGAACTGTGAGAGACCCTGTCTCAAAAAGACAAGAAAAAGAAAAAAAAGAAGAGCCCCGGGGGGTCGGGGTGGGGAGCTTCAGCTGGCACCGCTGGTGGCTTCGGGACTGAGCCCAGAGAAGCCCGATGCTGTAGACTGGGTTTGTGGTCCTGCAGATCCTTGTCCCCTTCCTGCCCTGTGGGTGATGGGCTGGGCGGCCAGGACGGGAAAGTAGGTACAGATGTGCACAAGCTATCTTGGCCTGGATGCTCCTTTAGTTCCAGCAATGTGCTGGGAAGTTTGCCCTTAAGCCAGGAGACTCACAGGGCAGACCTGAGCTGCCTCCCAGCCAGAGCCATGCCAGGCAAACCCGGAGTAAGCAATGGACGGCTTCCATCCTGAGTTTTTTGTGTGTGCGGGTACCAGGAATGGAACTCAGGGCCTCATGCTTGCCAGGCAGGTCATGTTTCCTTGAGCTATATCCTGGGCCCTCATCTTGAGTTTTGAGGGTTGTGTGCTATGGAGCAGCGAATCAGCAACAGCCTGACTAATAACATTTTAACAGGAGGCTGGAGGGAAAGGGTCCTTTCAAGGTTGACAGGAGGAACAAAGCAAAAGAAGGGAGAAAGTGGATAATAAAACCGAGTCGGGCAGCTGCAGGGGCATGGAGCCTTGGGCTCCAGAGGACAATCCCAAACCCTTTCGCTCCCCAGGTGTGACTCTAGCTTCTCACTGCTGATGACTCCAGAGGAAGACTCGTCTCCTGGCGGCTCCCATAGACATTTGATGGGTTTGCTATATCAGCCTACCCGAGACCAACCTCATCCTTCTGCCTCCACAGATTGCTCATGTCCTAGGCTCCCTGATGCCCCACCAGCACCCTGACAGAGCTGGGAGCCCCTCTGCACATCCTCAGGCCCCGTGGGGTCCCCAGCCTGGGAGATGCTCAGCCGTCAGCCTCTCCCCAGCCCTGGCCACCAGGACTCCTTACGTGGTGACTTCCCTTCCTTGGAGCCCATAGCACTCTTTCCAGGCGGGGCGGTCACCACCCCAGGTAAGCTATGAGCTGGCAAGAAGATAGCTAAGCTGCTTAGCACCTTGTCCACCCTGGCCTCTTTCATGACCAACTTCCCCTCGGCTCCCATGCTAGTTTAGATGTCTTCTTTTTTTTTTCTTTCTGATACTGGGGATTGAACCCAGGGAGCACTGAGCTGTATCCCTATTGCTTTTGATTTTGAGACAGCGTCTTATTAAATTGCCTAATCTGGTCTCAAGCTTTCGATTTTTCTGCTTCAGCCTCTTGGGGAGCTGGCATTGCAAGCAGATATCACTGTGGCTGCATTTATGCGTCGTCATGGAAGCCTCATGATATCCAGATGGAACAACTCCATGCCCTGTCTTATGGCTCTCAGTCTAGTTTTTTGTTCTCTTTTAAAATTTTGGGCTGGAGGGCAGGTGTGATAGTATATACCTGTAATCCCAGCACTAGAGAGGCTGAGGCAGGAGGATCCTCACGAGTTTAAGGCCAGCCTGGGCTACATAGCACAGGACTCTGTCTCAAAATGAAATAAAACAAAGGAAAAGTACCAGGCAGGGCATGGTGGCACACTCCTATAATATCAGCACTTGGGAGGCTGAGGCTGGTGGATAGGATCACCACAAGTTCAAGGCCAGTTAGGGCTCTACAGTGAGTCCAAGCCAGGCTGAACCACATAGTGGGACTCTGTAGAAAAAGTTTTTCAGGTGTGCGCAGTGTGGTGGCACTTTGAAGGCAGGAGGATCACTGTGAGCCAGCCTGTGCTACATAGTGAGTTCAACACTACCCTGAACTACATATTGAGACTCTATCTCAAAAACTAAAACAAAACAAAATGGCCAGGTGTGATGGTGCATGCCTATAATCTCAGGAGGCTAAGGCAGGAGGATTGCCCGAAGTTCAAGGTCAGACTGAGCTCAAGGCCAGCCTGAAAGACACAGTGAGACTGTCTCAAAAAACAACCAACCAATCAAAAAATCCCAAATTGAAGCTCCAGACCTGTTAAAAACTCCCCACTGCCTGCTCTCCCAGCCCTTAGTGATTGCCATTTTAGTTACTAGTGTCCCTGACTCCAACAGCCTTAGGTATCTCAGAGCCTTTGTGCTCTGGGGTCTGTTTACCTCACTCAGCACAGGTTCTCAGTGTCCAGCCACGCTACAGCAAGTGTGTGTCACAGTGGCATTCCTTCTTGGGGCTGAGGATAGCTCCTTGGGATGGAGCCTTTATTTTGTTCATCTACTTGTCTGTCAAAGGACAGAGAATCCTTTCTATCCTCTGGTTACTGAGAGAAATACTGCTACGAACATTGCATATGGACATTGGAATCTTTGCCTTCAGTTCTTACAGGTGGGATTGATGGATCATGTGGTAATTCTATGACTAATTTGTTGTTGTCCTTTTTGAGATAAGGTCTTGCTATGTAGTCCCAGGCTGGTCTTGAGGTCACTATGTAGCCCAGACAGGCCTCAAATGTGTGGTGATGAGCCTTTAGCCTCAACTTCCCACGGGCTGGGATTATAGGTGTATACCATGTCTGGTTTGTTTCTTTCTTTGAGACAGAGTCTATTGAACTCACTATGTAATCCAGGCTGGAGTCAAACTCATGGCAGTATGGCAATGATTCTTGTGCCTCAGCCTTCCAAGTACTGAGAGTACTGGTGTGTGACACCACACCTGGCTACTGTTTTTGTTTTTTGATTTTTTTTTGGCAAGGGTGTCTTTCTATGTAGTTCAGACTGGCCTTGAACTCACTATGGAGCCCAGGCTGGCCTCAAACTCACAGTGATCCTGCTACCTCAGCCTCCCAAATCCTGGGATTACAGGCATACAACACCAGGTTGGGCTTGTCTTGCCTTTTGTAACCATTGTGCTGATGACATGACTAGCCTCAGCCTGACTCCGGCCCTTGCTGTAGTGGCCCACGTGGTGGCCCACGTCCTGCACCATTGCCTGCCAGTACCTGCCCAGTGAACTCTTGGCTTGTTTCCTGAGGTTTCCCGCACACCAGAGCAAGGGATCCTTTCAGATCCCATGGGCATTCTACTCCTGCAGAAGGATCAGCTGTCAGTAACACCTTCCTCTCCACTATGAGATGCTTCCTTTTCTGTAGGGTTGACTCCCACTCTGCCTTCCAGCCTTACCTCCTCAGGGGAGCCCTCCTGACCACCTCTCATCAGCTGCCCTTACCTGGTTGGTGCCTTCTCTGCTGGTTGTTTCCAGAAGGTGGCACCTGTTGTCCTTCCCCTTGTCATTTCCACTGGACTGTGAACTCCACAGAGAGGGAGACTTTGGTCTTGCTCACCAATGCTGCCTGGCCCATACCGGGTGTTTGGGAAGCCCTCACTAAATGAATCAGTTGATCCAACATGGAACGCTTTTTTAAAACGTGACTTCCTGATCTAAAAGGTGAGGGTGAATCCTACAGTGTGCTTATATCCTAATGAGGAAAGCAGGTAAGAAAAAAAAAAATAAATGTTGCATCGGGTGATGATGGTTGCTATGGAGAAAGCAGAGCAAGATGGGGCAGGTGCCTTTCTGCAGAGGTTCCTTAGGGGGGAGATGGTGACCTGACCCACGGGAAGTGAGGAGGGAAGAGAGCTCTGAGTAGAGGGGACAGCATAGCAAGGACCTGCGGTGAGTGGACATACCACCTCTGCTGGTCCAAGGCATGCAGAGGATGTGCTCCGGGCAGGGGACAGCTGCCACGAGACAGAAGGTGGCACTGCAGCTGGTACTGGGCCCCCACAGTGGGCTTCTCGGGAGGTGCAGCAAATAGCAGGTTCATCTCCACAGCCAACCGGACAGGGCCTAGCATTGCACTTCTGCAAATCCCTGGCACAGGGCTGTGTACATAGTTGGTGCTTTCTAGATCAAAATAAACCCATCCTGCACATGACCTAAATCTTGTTTTGCTGTTACACTGGCTTATGACAACTAAGTGTTTGCTGGAAGACATTTCAACACATATGTGATTTTTTTTTTTTTTTTTTTTGGTACCGGGGATTGAACTCATGACTTCATGCTTGCCAAGCAGGCACTTATTCCGCTAAGCTAAATCCCTGGCCCCCACATATGTGATTTTAACCTTGAATTTGTTTCCTTCTTCTTTAGCACCGTCATTCTGGTGGCTCACTGTGCTGCTGTAGTAACACCAGTGGAATTGTCCTTTTCATTTTATAGACTGTCTCCCCAGATGTTATCTCTATGGAGTGCCCAGGCCCCCTCTGAATAGCCGCTCTCCACTGTCCAGAGGTGGCCAGGATGTTGGACTCCACAAACACTAACTGGCTGGGTCCTCAAGAGTCTTGTCATTCATCTTCCCTGTTTCTGGCTTGGCAGTGACACCCCCACTGCACAGACAGGACACCACGGCTCAGAGAGGGGATGGCATTTGCCCAAAGCCTGCCCAAAGCAAAGAGGTGATGTCAGGCCCTTAAGCCCCGACTTGGGTGCTAGACTGCACTCTTTCTAGGGAGGCCCAGATTGAATCCCCTCAGGGAAATATCTACCTAAAACCCAGGCTGACCATCCTGGTCTGAACCTGCTTGGGGAACAGCTCAAGATTTGGATCACAAGTCTTCATGCAAGGGACAGATATTTAGCTCAGTGGCTCAGGTGCTTGCTTTATAATGTGAGGTCATACTAAAAAAAAAAATCTTCCTGCAATTCCAGGACTGAGCTCGCTGGGGAGAAGGGGAGTAGAGTAACCGGTCAGCTGCCATTCCCATGGCCCAGAGGGGAGTCCTGTCTTGCTCCCTACAGCTGTGAGCGTCACCAAAACAAAGCTGCCACCAAGGAGAGGAGGCACTATGTATCCCCCCAGCCTGGGCAGTCCACCTCCTGGCTGGCCCCTGTGGCCTGAAGCCTCTCTCCTTAACTTCCACCTCCGGGAGACCCCAAGGCCAGGATTCCCCGTTGCTCCTCTCTCTATCAGCCTAAGCTTGGAGCACACATGCATGGCCACTGTCTCTCTACACCTGCTAACTCAGCTCTTCTCTGTCTTCGGTCCCTTCCGCTGTGTTGCTGGGTACTGACAGCGTGTACTGACAGTCCCACGTAGTAAACCCTAATCAGGGGAGGCCCCCTGACTCCAGGCTGGAGCCAAGAAGGAGTCCTGGCAAGGCCCCTCTGGAGGGGATGCGCCCTGCCCAGCTGCAGGATGGAAGGATTCATAGGATTGTGCCAAAAGAAGAGGTTTAGGGCAGAGGAGTCCAAAGATCATAAATTCTACCAAGCCAGGATTTCTGTCTGGTTTATTACTCAGTGACCAGGACAGCGCTTAGCATACAGTTCAATAATCAGGAAGAAAGAACAGGAAGAAGGGAAGAAGGAGACAGGGAGGGATAGGAAGAGGAAGCACGAGTATAGGGTGGATGTGTGAAATGGTGTGGTCACTCTGGGAACTGAAAGTGCAGTAGCTCCAGGTGGCTGTGGCCCCTTGGGAGGAGCTGAGTGGAGGGTGTGGCCTTATCTGATCCTATTGTAGGTGGTGTCCAGTTTCTTATCTTCTCATGGGCCAGAGCTACCTAAAGGATGGGGCATGGGACAACTCTCCTGCCCAGGCTCCCTGGGACTCCTCATGTTTTCCCAGACTGTCTGCTTGATGGCAGGATCCTCTCGACCCCTGCTGGGCATAGACACACAGATGACTCACACTCAGATCCTGCCCTCCAGTCTGGTAGTCTGCAAACACTAGGCTACACAAGGAGCAGAAGGCCTGGAGAACTATGGAACAGGGTGGGTGTCAAGCCAAATGAGATAGAGGCAGAGTAAGGGATGGGCTTGCTCCAGAAGCAAAAGGAGGTTTTCTGAGGAAGATAGCTCCAGAGAGGGTGTTAGCTTCAAAGAATGGTGAGAGAGCCCAGCAACGCATGCCTGAAACCCCAGCACTCCAAAGGTGGAAGCAGATTGCCATAGGTTTGAAGCCAGCTGGGCCAGCCTGAATTACATATTGAGACCCTTCCTCAAAAATAACAAGTGGTGAGAGAAGGGGGAGGTGAGAGAAGGGGGGAGGCATCACACCCAGGATGTGGGTGTGGGGACCTCGGAATTGGAGGAATCCAGTGCAGGGAGGCAGAGGGGGACTTTGAATGTTACCTGGTGTCTGGAGGTGCTTGAGACCTGGCCACATTTTGAATCACTGTGCTGTCAGATGCACTTGGAGTGGGGCTGCAGAATGATCTCCCTGTTCTCTCTTTCTGGCTCCTCTCAGCTTCCTCGTTAGCTCCACCAAGGATTCACCAGCCCTTGGGAGCCTCCTTCTGCGTTCAGCCCAAGGACTGAGTGCCTGCCTGCCACAGGGTCCCAGAACATCACTGTTCTTCTTCTTCTCACACAGGCTCTGGAAGGACAGACTAGTCCTTTTGCAAGGGGTTGGGGAGGGAGAGGAGAAGGGAAGAGAAAGAGAAAGGAAGGCATTTTTTAAAAGTGGCAGTTGGGATTGAACCTGGGACCTCTGAATTGAGCTACATTCCCAAATATTTGAATTGTTTTTTTTTTTTTTTTGAACCAGGGTCTTGCTAAATTCATAAGTTGCCCAGGCTGGGCTTGAACTTGCAGTCTTCCTGCCTCAACCTCCCAGAGTGCTGGGATCTCAGGAATGACCACCACACCTGGCTAAAAGGGAAATTATAATGTCACAGAACATCAGACTATGGAGATATTTAAGAGATCTTTACCCCCTTTGCCATCTGACAGGCAAGGAAACCGAGGCATAGATGGCTATGCTTTACAGCAGCCTGGACGCTGGCAGAGCATGAGCAGCCTGGGAGAGGATGGCTCATTAGGGCAGCGCCTTTCTCCAGCCAGGACCAGCCATCCTGTCTATGGGCCTTTGCAGGCACAAGATGAGTCAGGAATCTCGTGAGTCAGTGTTGACAACCATCCCTGGCCAGTCCCAGTCCATCAGGAATAAGAGGAAGTCCTGGGAAGGGTTCGAGCAGGCCGATTTAATTAGTGCAAGCTCTCAGGTACCTTAAGTTAGCCCTATTAAATTAAAGCGCCTGGGGGAAAAAATAACTGTAATTATTTCCTTGTCCCCCTATGGTCGTATTTCAACTCCCTTCCAACCTCCATAATTCTGTCACTGGCAAAACAACCTTTCAAACCAGAGTTAGCACACACTCCCCACAGTTAGGGTTCAGGGTGTTTCCCCTTTTTCTGTCTCTTTCCCCTGTGGGCTCTGGGTGCATGGCAAAGAGCAGTGGTGAATCCAGACGTTACTGCAGGGCCCGGCTGTATTCTAATTTAAGGAGACTGTTACACTGAGCAGAACATTATTCCAAAAATGCATCCAGTCTCCTTCCTGAACCTTTGCAGATCCTTTAGCTGCGGGGCATTTCTTCTAAAAGCCCCTTTTCTCTCTTCTACTGAGCAAAATAAGCAAACTTTAATGTAAGGAATTGTTTATTTTCTTGAAATCTAGTTCGGAGTTTTTCTACTTGAAACGTGTTTTCCCCAGGACACTGACCTATCCTTTAATTGTTTGGTGCCAGGCATGTTAGGGGGAGGGGCGTCACTTGTTTATTGGAACAGCGCAGTTAAAAAAAAAAAATCAACCTAGGCTAACAGTTTCAAGGCTCCCCTAAAGATGTATCCAAACAGGCAGCCAATCAGCGCTTACACAGCTTTTTCTGCTCCACTCTTTTAAAGAGACAGTACCAACTGTATTTTATCACGATTAAAGAGAACCGCGCTCTAAAACAGTCTGGAAATGGGGGAGCCTTCCCCTATTTCGCCAGGCTTTTGGTCTTAAAGAGTATCCAATGAAGGGAACACAGAGTATTTTTAGGGCCCTTGGCGTGGGCAGAAAGATGTCAGCAGCAAATAGCTGGGTCACTCTGCCAGCCCCCTCTCAATTTCCCATTGTACACCTGGGTCACTGACAATGGAAGCTTCCCCTCCCCCTACGCTTGACTCAAGTCCCTCACTCCCCAATTTAGCTCTATTTATTTGAAGTTTGCAGATTTCCGCGGGGCGCATTCTCAGCTGAGGGGCGCCCAAGTGAGCCCCCCGCCTCCCTATCCCCGAACAGCACCCTTTCCTGTGGAAAAGCCGAGGAGCCCATTGCCACAGCTGGCAAACCTTGGCAGTTGGGGAGAAGTCACTCTCCCTCTTAGTCTAAGTCCCTCTTTCCCTCACCTGGGGCTCCCCACAGCACGCCAAGGGCCATTTTTGCGTGGTTCTACTTTGGGATTTTCCAAAGTATTACAATGATCTAGTAAAGGAGCAGCCGCACGCTTGGCGTCGGCGCGAACCGCCCAGCTCCCGACGTTCAGCCGCTGCCGGCTCTCGGGAGCCCGGCGGGCCCCGGGAGGGAGGACGCTTTCGGGGCTAGGCGAGCGCGGCCGCAGCGGGGAAGCGAGAGGGGCCCGCGGGAGGGCGCCGGCGCTACGCCCAGGTCTGCACCCCCTGCCTCAGCCGTGCGCGCCGCGGGAGCGCCGGCCAAGGTCCCCGCGCCGCCCCGGGCTGAGGCTCGCCCCCGGACACCCCCGGCCGGCGCCGCGGCGGACTGCAGCGGCCGCGCCGACTAGGCGTCCCTCCCGGTCGCCGGGCCCGCCCCCGCGCGCCGATTGGCCGAGGCGCCCGTCCGTCGCGGGGCGTGGACGCCCGCCGCGCTCCCTGCCCGGGCAGCCACGTTCGGTTGAGCTCCAAGTAGACCAGCGGCGGCGGCGGCAGCGGGGCCGGAGGCGCGGAGGGCGGCGCGGGCCAGGCGGGCTGCGGGCGAGCGAGCGAGCGGGCAAGCGGCTGGCAGCCGGGCAGGCAGCGGCGCGGCGAGGCCGATCCGGCGCGGGAGGAGTTCCAGGGCGATGGGGCCGCGGCCCGGGCTGACGCTTTGACAGCTGGAGAGAGCGCGGAGCCAGCACCGGAGGGAGGGAGCGCGGCGGGCGAGCGGGCGAGCGCCGGGAGGGGGCCGGGAGCGGGCGGCTCGGGGCAGCCGGACGGTAGCGGCGGCGGCGGCGGCGGGGCTCGGCGTCCTCCTCTCTGCAGACCATGTTTGCCAAAGGCAAAGGCTCGGCGGTGCCCTCGGACGGGCAGGCTCGGGAAAAGTAAGCCCATTGCGAGCGGCGGCCGCGCGCCCCGGGTTGCGGGCGGTGGGCGGCAGGTGGGTGGCGGGGCCCCGGGCCGCTCCCCTGGGCGCAGGGCCGCGCGGCCCTCCCAGCCCGTGACCCCGGCCGCCACGGCTCGCCGGGGACCCCATTGTTGGGAGCCGGCGGCGGCTGGGCACTGGGAAAGGGCGGCGAGGGCAGCGCGGGCCACGCACCTAGTGCTGCGGGCGCGGGGACGCGGGGTGGGCGAGGTCCCGTGGCGAGCCCGTGCGCTCGCCCTGGCCGGGGCGCTCGTCGCGGCGGCTGCACTTTGCCCACCGGGCGCGGGCAGGGGGCGCGTGGCTTCTGTAGCCCCGGTGCTCCTTTTGTCCGCCCGCGGTGTGAGGAGTGCGTGCCGGTGGCTTTGTTCGGCCGGCAGCGCTCGCCCGTCCCTGCCCACTGCCTCGCCGCCTGCTCCGCGCCCTCCGGGGCGCCGGGCTGGGCAGGGACGGCGGCGCCAGCTTGGCTTCGGGCTTGGGCTTGGGGGACAGTTGCTCAGGGGGAGGCGGTGCGGGCGGCACTTTGCTTCCCTCTCTAGAGCGCGCGGAGCACCCTGGCCCGGGCTAAGTGTGCCCAGACCCCAAAACTGGAACGAGGGTGGCAGGCAGGAGTGGTTCAGAAGGAGGAGGGAGGCTTGGGTGGCTAGTGAGTGTGAAAGACCTAGGTGGGTTTGTCCCCGACAACACTTGTAAATTCAAGTTTGGGGGCCGCTTTTTAACCCCGGTGGTTAGAGGCAGCGCGTCTTGCCTGGTACCCACCTCCTAACTGATTTCCCCAGCGGCCCTGCCTGGGGTGGGTTAGCAGCTCACCTCTGATTGCCACTGCCACAATGGGACAGAGCGGACAGAGCAGATGGCAAGGTCTAGAACAGGCACCCGGTGTACCTGACCCTTTCCTCTCTCTCTCTTGCTTCTGTTCACTTTCCAGGTTAGCTTTATATGTCTATGAATACTTACTGCATGTAGGAGCACAGAAATCTGCACAGACCTTCTTGTCAGAGGTGAGTGGGACTCCCCACCATCCAGTTTCTTGACACCCCCTCCTCCCCACTATTCTTAGAGCCTTTGTTTTCAGGAGCAGCCACTGTGGCCACCATTTTGAATTTTTATCACCTTTTGGCATTTATTGTTAGTTGATCTTCACAGCCTTTTGGCTCTGAGAAGCCCTTGAGACCCCTCCTCTGCCCTAAGCTGCCTCTGCTTCTCTCTTCCAGATTCGATGGGAAAAAAACATCACGCTGGGCGAGCCGCCTGGGTTTCTGCACTCTTGGTGGTGGTAAGTTTGGGTGACAGTTGTGTGTTTATGTGTCCCATCCCCGGGTCCCAGTGAACAAAGACAGGCCTGGAGCAGGCCCTCTCCCCCTCTGCTGTATGGAGCAGCATACCCCTGGCCTGGCCACCGAGAAAAGGGCAGAAAAAGCTGCCCAAAGTTTTTTTGTGGTGTCTGTCCAGTGCAGAATGCTTGTTAACCTTGTGGTGCTGGGGTAGAAGCACTTTGCTTTTCTTGCTGTGGGCCACTGGAAGGGTTTTTGTCAGTCCTGCATGCTGCTTTAATTAGAGAGGCATGGGGGTAGGGCGGAGTGGAGGGGACACTCTGGCCGCTCTACAACTGGCCTGTCCCTACCTTTTTCTTCTGTATGCTACAAACTTGAAGAGAGAACATCTACTGGGCCTTTTCCAGGCACTCTGAGAGAAAGCAAGAAAGGGCTGTACTTCCTGTGAAGATTCTGATTCACACTGACTGGACCTTCCTGTCCTCTGCCCCTGCCCCTCAGCATCCTCGGAACCACAGGCTTTATTTCACCAAGAACCATAGCTGGCTGCAGTCGGTCCTGCGAGTGCCTGCCACTTGCAGTTAGGGGCTCTCTTCTCTCTTCCACCCTCTCCCCAGGCCCCTGAACCCTGTACCCCCTGTCTCAGCATGGGGTTTGTGGTAGGCAGCGGGAGGGAGGCTTCTGGTCCAGTGAAGCAAGTTGTCATGAGTGTGTAACCTGGGTGTTTTGTGGGACCGGCTGGTGGAGTCTTTGACATCTTTTTTTGAAAAGGAAAAGAAAGCAGAGTCGCTTTTGATATTTTGGTGGAGTTCAGGAAAACGGAGTTGGAGTCCTTGGGATCTTAGCACATTTACCTGACTGCCAGCTAAGGTTACTGTTTCAAGTCTCTTTGAACAGCAGGAGTTGAAGTGTCTGTTCTAACTTGTGCAGAGAAAATGAGTTTTTAATTACTTCTGCCGGCTTCCTAACTGCCGTGTTAGAGGTGTCCGGTGTGGCGCAAGGATCACACCTGTAGGAGAGAGTGGGTTGGGTGCAGTGGATTTTGGAGGGCTGGGTGGGGGTGGGATTGCGTGTCCCATTGCCCTGGACTGTAGAGAAACCTTGATGAGGCTGAGAAGGTGGCTTAGGTGTGGAGGTGGTGATACTTACAGCATGCAGTCTGGAGGCAGAAAGGAACATTCTCCAATCCCTCTTTGCTACTGTTGAACTCCTGATTTTCTGGTTATATATAGAATCCTTGAAGCTTCTCTACCCAGGAGCATGGTATCTGTGTAGCGGGCTCAGGCTGTGCTCTGCTGGCCCTGAGTCCCTGTGGTTGGGTTTGAGAGAAGTTGCTTCACGAGATTTGACAGTGAGGAAGAGGAAGCAGTGAGCTGATGGGATGAAGGCGGGCGTGTCATTGATGCCCCTCAAATGAGATGCCTGTCTGGTGACTGGAGCTGGCTCTGATGGGACCAGAGCACTGGACTGCGTGGTAGACTTAAGTTCCAGGACCCACCATGCCCTTCAGAGTGGTTGTGTTCTCGTGTGGCTCTTGGTTTAGAATGTTGTAAGACCCCTTGTTGGTACCAGTGACCACCCTGTCTTTGTTTAGTGTTGCCTGGTTGGCAAAGAACTTGTTTGTGTGCTCTTTTTTAAGGAAACACTGGACTGACCACCAGAATTATAGAGAGGCCGGGTGGTGCTTCTGGGCCTGCCCGCCTGTCCCCACTCTTTGCTGGACAGGTGTGCTCCAAAGAGCCCACTATCTCAGTGAGAGCACCCAAGACTCACTGATGCCCCCCACCTCTCCCTCAGTGGGTGGTGGAGGGTGGGGTGTAGGCTCTGGGATGAAGAACTTATAAGGTTACCTTGTTCCTGAAGTTGCCCAGATTGCCGTGCTTGGGAATCACAGTGATGTCCTGACTCTGCTGTCTTTCTTTTTGTGTTGGTTTTTGGTTTGGGGTCAGGGTAGAAGGAATGTGGAGGAGAGAAGCATCGGTTTCCATCCAAATTCCTTCCTGGACACCCATGGGTGGGCTGTGCTCACACTTCCAAGCCTCAGTAGCCCAAGTATGAAGTATGTGGCGGCCCTCATTGTGAGGCACTGGGCATGTGGCAGGAGGCAACTGTTAAATTTATTACAGTGCTTGCCTTATTTTGTTTTCTAGGCTGAGTTTGCCCAGTGGAGCTGGTAAGGTGGGACAGCTTTGGGAGACCTGGTGCTGTTTGCATCATGTATTCTGCACTTGCTGCTGTGTGCACAAGTAATCATTAGTAACCTGATCTTATTTTATTTTTCAATTTTGCAGCGTGTTTTGGGACCTTTACTGTGCAGCTCCTGAAAGGAGAGACACTTGTGAACATTCAAGTGAAGCAAAAGCCTTTCACGATTACGTGAGTAACAGATTTTTAATCCTGACAATAATTGCAGGGTTGGGTGGCTCTAACTCCTTTAGTACCAAAAGCAAACACACTGCCAATCGGCAGTGGTCTCCATTCTTTCCTTGCCTTCCCCTTCTCCTGCTCCCCACCTCTCTGCTGCCGTCTGCCCTGTGCCCTCTGCACTGGGTGTTCTGACTTTTGGCGAACAGCGTTTCAGAATGCTGTCATTACATTCTCTCTGGAGAATGGAGGGATGGTGCTCAGGGCTCACACTCAGGTTTGTGTTAAGAGTGGACAGTTAGCTGAGCCTATTTGTTGTCAGCTTTAGAGAAGATTGACTGCAGCCAAAAAAGAAGCAGCTGTGAAACTTTGGTTTTGGAATAGAAGGACGACGGAGTAAGATTTTGGTGGAATGGACACTTGCCTTATTTTCCAGATAGCAATTTTTAAAGTTAAGGGAGAGGGAGGTACATGTGAGTGTCTGCGTGGTGGGTAGATGTCATGCTGTGTCCAGTAGGACAGTGTGCAATTTAGATACTTGGTCTATAATCCTGTGTCTACAACATTCTTGCGAATCTCGTCAATTTCATCAAGTTAGCATTAACCTATCATTCACTTTCTCCCTACATGAGTTTCTCAAGCTTTATGAAGTTGTTATGAGAGATCTGCCCTGGTTCCATCTACCATGTGGTTCCCTTAAAACAAAACAAAACAAAACAAAAAAACCCCAGCTGTTTGGGAGACTGAGGCAGGACTGGAACTTCAAACTCAGCCTGAGCACGGTAGCAGCTTAGCCAGAGATTGCCTCATAAAGGTATGCAGCTCAGTGCTAAGAATTCAATACTCAGTACCGCCAAATAAAAATCTTAACTAGGGTTGGAG